GCGTATTTTTAAAAAAAAGGTTGCGAGTGGTCGCTACTGCTCGCGAACACTTTTTGTGACGCTGCTTCAGGTAATTTAACAGGTTTAACTTGATGTCCTTCCCTTTCATTGGCATCAGAGATGTATACATTAGTATATCTCATCACTTAATTGTAATAAGTAAGCTTCTTCTCTGGTCCAATTTGATACTCTGATCTTCCCTTGAATCAGGAGCAATTGGGAGCAGCATGCAACTGATAGAAAAAGAAAGCATCTCCATTGGTAAGGCAATGAGGATGCTACTTAGAAGTGGGGTATGATGACAAAGACTTGTTCTTGGAGGTTGAGTTAAGGGTCCTTGAGGGACAAAACTGATGAAAAAACTTATGCTTGTTGGAAAGCCGGATACTGCTGAAAAATCAAACTGCTGAGTATGGGGTGCATAGAATCCAAGCATTGTTCATCAGGAACATCAGAAAGAATAGGTTTGAGTTTTTGTCTTCCAACATAGGTGCAAGAAACAACTGCAATAGAAACTGAAGCTGATGGTTGACAGGGGCTTGGGTTGGTGTTGTTCAGGAGAAATGCCAGAAAGAACAACATCAGGGCTGGAATCTTCAATACTGGAAAGGTCTGGGATGGATACTTGCTCAGCACAGGAGGAGTGTGTTGTGATTTATTTGAAGCTGCTGCTTCCTTGGCAAACAAAGCTGCTGCTAAGGACGAATCATGAACAGGCCAGCATTCTAAATCTAGGAGCAGCTGGGATCCTCTGGGGCTGGTATTTTAGATCCAAAAGAAGATCTAAATCAGGGTTTCTTGGGTTAAGATCTAAAAGAAGATGAAAATTGGGACTTGGGTTGTTGTTGTTGCTGTTCAACACAGATGTCTTAGAAACAACAATATTATTCTAAATCATTGTTGTTGTTGTTGTTGCTGCTGCTGCTGCTGCTGCTCTGTTGTCAGAAACAACATCATTGTGACTAGAAGCATCTTCAGGAGGAGGAACAGGGGATGGATCCCGCAGAGAAAAACTGCCACCATCTGGGGAGGACTGGGGAGAAATAATGCTGAGCTCTTGGATGAAGCACTTGTCAAATATAGGCAGGCCAGGGAAGAGGATTTTCCACTTTGGAACAACAAGAAGAGGAGGCATCTCCATGGTGGTTTGGATGCCAGATTTCCTTAACCAGGTATGTACTAKGTAGGGATCAGTAGGAGATTTAGGTGATAATTTTCAGAAACAAAGTTTAAGTTCATCTGTTTGAAAAAAACCATTTTGAAAATTTATAGCTGCTATTATACTAGGAGGAGCAATACTACTAGTAGTAGTACTACTACTAGTACTGCCATACATTATGTAGCACCACTTGGTGTGAGGTGTGACCGAAACTACAAAGTTAATGCTACTAGTACTACTAGCACTTATTAGTCATTGCATTGAAATTGGGATGGCACTAATTTCATGTTGGTGGCCTCCTGCTGGTCAGATTAGGGATTTTTGTTGACCTGTGCTCGTGCATGAGTAGAGGGTTGAAGGGCTGCATTTGGCAATGAAGTCTACCTGCTAAAATCGAGGTAACAACACTCTGGACAACACTTTCCAGAAAGCTCGTCTTTGCTATTATCATCAGAGTGTTTGTAGATGTTGCATGCGAAATAACCTGAAATACTTTCCTACCGAGTACAAGATAAAAAAATGAACAAACTAGATGCGTCAACGTAATAACCCCCGTTGTTAATAGTTGTCGATAATGGATACAAAAGACAGCTCGTTCGTTAAATGAATCTACTAATGTGAAACGCTTAGGCAACCATGGTAGAGGCAGTGGCGGATTCGTATCTCCAGTTAGCGGGAAGCTTTCGGGTAGTTCTGTAGTATCGTGCCAATCTGTGGATTCTGGATTCGATCAAAATAAGACGGAACTTGGAGTCCTTATCCTTTCGGTTTCTTTCCAAATGCTTTCGGACCTGGACGGCCTTCTTGATAAGCATGTAAAGATCCTCAGGGATTTCAGGGGCAAGTCCATTGGCCTTGAGGATTCGAACAATCTTCTGTCCAGTAACGGACTTGACCTGTGCGATTCCGTTAGAATCTCGCAAGATAACACCAATTTGGGAGGGGGTCAAACMCTTCTTTGCAAGCTTGCAGATGTGCTCCTCGACATCGGCGGCAGAGATCTTCAACCACGAAGGAGGAGTACGCTTGTAAGGCTTGGCACTCTTGGAGATACCCTTTCCTGGAGCATGAAGACGACCCATCTTGCTAAGAACGAAAACGAAGGAGGGGAACGGTGAGCATTACGGCCATTATAAGTTATTAACCAACATCGTGTGCAGAAGGCAGCAGCTCAATCATCCATGATGAGAGAGTACCATCGCGACTCACATTAATTTGTTGTTTCCTAAGGTAACGAAGAGAAAAAAGTAAGCAACTCTAGTTGCAAGTAGCAAGTTTTGAAAGGGGCACCTCCGTCCGCGATTGTGGTCGATTCGTTACGCCTACAGGGAAATTTTACGTGAATCCCGTAATAATCTCTTACCGATTTACCGATTTACTGAAACGGAGTGGCAAAAAATTACGGACGATGACAGACTCATGTATAGAACATACCAAAGGTTACGTATAACCATCGCCCCAAATTTTCCCATGTTTTCCATAACAAAAAGCAGGTTCTGCACAACGCCTTCATTAGTACAACTCGTAGGACCATCCTCCGACAATCCAACTTCTATTTGCTTGCACGTCTTCATCGAATACAACTAAGAAGAAAGAAAAATGTAAGTGAAGTTGGTGGTGCAAGATGGGAATATTAGATCACCTATGTAGTGCGATGTATCAGGCAAGCCAGAAATGATGCCTAAGGAGAAGAGCCTTCGTAATTGCGTCGGCTTCCCATCTCGATTCGATTAGCGGTGGATCAGGACCTGCGTCCATGATCCTTTTTCTCACGTTTTCGTCGACGTTTAACACTCTTACCGTAGGGCTCGTGGACCTAAGAAGCACTTGAAGCGCCTCCATGCGCCGAAGCACTGGAACATCGGAAAGATGGGAGGTGTCTGGGCCCCCAGACCCTCCACGGGACCTCACAAGCTCCGTGAGTGCCTGCCCATTGCTATTATTCTCCGTGAACGTCTCAAGTATGCCTTGACCGGAAAGGAGTGCCAGCAAATCTGCATGGAACGTTGCGTCCAGGTCGACGGAAAGGTCCGAACCGATGCCAACTACCCTGCAGGGTTCATGGACGTCATTGAGATGCCCAAGTCGAACGATCGGTTCCGTCTTCTGTACGACGTTAAGGGACGATATGTCCTTTGCCGACTTGACCGCGAGGAAGCTCAGTACAAGCTTTGCAGAATCAACAAGGTTTTCGTTGGTGCCAACAAGGTCCCTTGCGCCGTCACACACGACGGACGCACCCTCCGATACCCCGACCCTGATATCAAGGTCAACGACACCGTGAAGGTTTCGATTGCCACAGGAAAGGCCTCGGACATTTTCGCATTCGGATTGGGATCTATGGTCATGATCACCAAGGGTCATAACTGCGGACGTGTTGGTACTCTTATGCACGTCGAAAAGCACGATGGTTCTTTCTCCATCGTCACCGTGAAGGATAACAAGGGTAACACCTTCGCAACACGACTAAGCAACGTTTTTGTCATCGGAAATGGACAAAAGCCTGAAATCACCCTTCCTAAGGGACGTGGTATCAAGAAGACCATCCTTCAAGAACGTGCCGAAGCCGAAGCTGCCGGACGCATCTAAATTAGAATTATAATAGTCGAGTAAAATCCCCTTTATCCATACCTTCCTCTACACATGCAACACCTTCCGAAAGTTTACTGCTTTTTCCAAACCATTCCTGAGCACACTAGAATAGAAACACGGTACTATGTACGGAAACTGTAGCATACTTGAATACACAATGCACAAGGAGGCCCAGAAAAGAAGAAACACACATTAACGAGAAGTACCGGTAGCGGTAGTATTCGACTATGACTTCGTGAGGTGGAGATTGATCCTCTCTGTTTCGTGATTTTTTGATGGCATGAACTTGTGCGATTGCAAGTAACTCAGTGTTATCCTTCGTGTGTTTTCTCGTGTTATATCCAAACGCTCTTGTCGGAATCCCGCGGCAAAGGTATTATCTGTTCGAACTGGATGAGGTCGTCCCCACCAAAGTCCGCGTCGACTGCTCCTTCTCCGCTCACGATGCCCCCGGAGAACCCAACGTAGAGAAAGAACACCAGCATGGTCAACGCGAGCCCCGCCTGCAGGCCGAGGGCGGTCCTCCCCGTCGCCCCGCTGACCAAGTCGTACTCCCTCCTCATCATTTGCTGCCGCACCGCGTTGTTGTTGTTGCTATTGTTGCTGCCGCCACTCCTCTGGTTGTTCCCGCTAGAGGAGGCTCCGAAATAGTCCAAGCTCCCCTCGCTCCGTCGACCGGTAAATTTTTTGGTCCCCGGAGTTGGCGGGGCATTGGCTCGGGCGTCCGTATAGTTGTCGTCGTATTCACTTGGTTCGAACAAGCCGCTGTCGAACTGCTCTCGTGACACAGGGGACCGGGAGAGTGACGACAGCGAAGAATTCGCGTCCACGGCCCCGCCTTCCTGTCGATCCCGTAGGTTTTGAAAGAATTCCGCAGAGAGAGACTCGCCCTCGGCATAATTCGTCGCGGCATCGTCGCTCCGCTCCTGCCAGTTGTTGTCGTCGCCGTCGTTCCTGTTGTTTTGGTTTTGTAGATCGCCAATCCCGTCGTCGTATTCTTCGGGTGGAGCTTTGGAGGAGAGGGCGGTGTCACATGTGGATGACGGCCCGAATCGATTCCGGGTGTGGGAACGGGATGGTCGGGTTGCTGGCTCGATACTGCCAATCACGGCAAGCTTTCGCGTTGCGGGTGGTGGAAGCAGTAGTGCGTGGCCGATTGCCGCGGGGTGCAGCAGCACGAAGGCAACACAGACTATCCTCATGGTATCGTACGTATGGTATGAAAACTTTCACTGCACAGAGATACACGGAAACGGCGTGTGCGGTGGCCCTCTTTCTCGGGTTTCTTTCTGAACAGATCCAAACAGTGAAACAAAAAGAAGGAAACTGTTAAGCTGCTAATGGAAATTGGTACCATACTTTACGAGGTAAGAAGTAGAAGTACTTCCCTATCGGAGACAGGTTTAGCGTTTTCCAGTCAGGCTCGTGATCAAAAAATATGTCTAATACATTACTTCAAATTTCTTCCCCCCTAATTTTGGGGGAACAAGTTCATTATTTGTTCCATGTTTTTAAAATAGATCGCGAGGCAACAAAATTCAACTTGCGGTCTGTACGAAAACAACGTGTGTTCTTCTGGCAACTCTCAACGATGTTCATCAAGAGACCCAACTTCTTGTTACGCTATGGGTTCTGTACTACGCTTTGTGTACCGCTATGCTGTACTCCGCCCACGCTTCCGAAATAACTATTCCAATCTAGTAGTACTCTGGTTTGTGTAATAAAATCACAAAACAATCAATTCAAGATGGCGCCTATCAAATCTCTTGTAACTCTTTTTCTTAGCGTCGGAGGCGCTAGTGCCTTCGCCCCTGCGAAGCCAGCCACATCCCTCAAAAGCAGCAGGTAAGGAGTTCGCTGTTTCATTCGTATACATTCCTGCAAGTGGCGGTGTTTCTATCGTGTATCTTGTTCAGACTCGCAACGACCGCAACCTCATGAGTTTTTGTTGCTTCTTTTTGTGCTTGCCCTCTATTCATTGCCGCCACTAGCTTGAACATCGCCAACCCTGAGGTTTACGAAGAGGCCCAGGCACGATGGGAAGAAGAATTTGCGCCCCTTGCTAAGTATGGATGGGGACCTTCTGTCCACGCCGAGAAGTGGAATGGACGTCACGCCATGTTCGGATGGTTCTTCATCTGCGCCACTGCCTACGCTAAGGGACACGGATTGATCCCCAACATGGACGTTCCTTTGGACCTTAAGGAATGGGGTACCCTCGCCACCATTACCGGAAAGGGAACCATCACGCAAGGACGTGCCATTATTTTGGCCGCTAACATGCATTTCTTTGCCATCTCACTCATGGCCACAATCTGCCCACTACCTTTCGGAGATTCCCTTTTGTTGGATCCTGATGACGAGTCATACGAAAAGTCGATGGAACGAAACTCCAAGCCTTTCGGATACATGCCAGAATTCAAGACTGGCCTCACGGAGGAAGCCGAAATCATCAACGGACGCTTGGCTATGTTGGGTCTGATTTCTCTTATTTTCGCCACCGCTATTGAACAAAAGCCAATGTTGGACATTGTTAACGAATGGACCGGAAGTTTTTACTTCTAAACAGTGGATTCATTGATTGATAGATCGATCCTAGATGGATGGTTTCGTAACCCTCCACACACCACTCTAGAGCTTTCCGTGCCGTGACGTACTGCACCAAACCGCACCCTCGTGAACGCTGCGCGGAGCAGACTTTCTTACGTACGCTGTGTGCTCATAGGAGATTATTTGACTTTACTTTCATATAACTAGCACATGATTACGACGTATGTTATCGCCTCTTTTTGTTTCCGTGTTCCAAAACTCGTAGATTCCGCCAATCACTGTAGTCGAAGTAACATATATTCTAACAACACTTCGCAAACCGTGCTAGCAACGACATTTGACGCAAGCTACAGTGAAATAAAGTACAACGTATCTTAACTCGGCCTTGTCTCTTTCGGTAATACCGCAATACTCTACTACGAAGAGCGACAAGAACTACAATCATCTGCTATAATGGGGCGGACGATATTGCTCTGTTCTTTCTCAAAACTGTATGGTATACTCGAAGCTGTAGAGGTCGGCAGCAAATACCGGACGATTCGTTACTATCCATACTGTCTTGTACTGTTATTATGCATTCCCCTGTATGTCCAAGTGCATCACTGCCACACATCGAGGCCTAAATACTACCGAAGTATTTTTGTACTCGGTCGAATTTTTTGTTTAGATATTAGGCATGGTATAGCAAAGAAACGTGGATACGAAACACAGATCAAACAAGAATTGATATGCTACTTGCTAAAATTCTACACTTTAACTTTTCATGTCAAAACACATTCTCAAAAATTTTTGTTACTTACTACCGAAGTAGTATTTTAATCATTTCATAATTTTTTAGCTTGTATTTTTCTAGAGCTTCCACCGTGCACTATTTTGATTTCCGAATAAACTGCTATCATAGAGGCATGAGATTGTTGACCTGCCACACTTCGTTGCAGAAGGACTAAGTACATTACTCTTTGTTCTTGCTGCACACACCATTTTTGCAGCAAGGGCTCTCTTCCTCTGCGGAGCCCGTGCTGCTCGAGCAATCATCACTCGGTTCTTCATCCAAGGTATACTCGCGGCCGACAGTCTGCTTCAGCTTGTCGGCATCCACATCCTGATACGCCTTCCCGGCATTGTAACCATGGAAAACCTTTGCGGTGATTTCGACCTGGGCGTCGGCGGGAACCATCTCAGGAGGAATTTCGACTCGGTTAACAACCTTGATTCCGGTGTTTACAATGGCATCGTACTTCATGTCGGACATGGAAATAAAATTATGGATCTTTGTGACTCCCAAAAAGTGCAGCGGATCGGGCATCAGTGCCTGGAAGCGGGTGTCTTGGACGCCTAGAGATACGAAAGTAGACGAAACAAAACAAGGTGAGAAAAATGATAGCAATGCATTCATATGCATTTCATCGATGCGTTTTGATGTTTATTTACCTGCAACCTGTTCCGTGCACTCAAAGTAACGCTCTGCTCGGTCGCCACCTTCCTGACGCTTTCTCGAGTTGTACACCAAGTATTTTGTCACTTCTCCCAGAGATCTCCCCTCCTTGCGGAAGTAAATGACAATACCACATCCTCCCTTTTGCGCCGTCTTGATGCATTCCTCGATGGCATGTGTCAGGTACGGGCGGCAGGTACAGATGTCACTACACGGGGTTATTTCCGTGGTTGCGAGTTTAGATCAATGGACGGCAGTTAAGAAACAAAGAATTATAATTTTTCGTCAGATTTCTTCGTGTTTTGGCGCTTTCTTTACTACTTTTTCCGCACGTACCTTCCAAAGACGTCGCTCCCATTGCATTCGTCATGAACACGGCATGTCAATTCAATGTTTTCGTCTGGAATCGTTTCTGGATCCCCCCAGATGTAAATGGTCAAACCTGCAAGAGTTCGAGTTTTCAAAAACAAACACATGTCGATGTTAGGGTTCTGTTCTTTTCGTTCCTTTCCCTTCAGTCAAAGAGCGAGGCGGCACAGCAACACAACAGGCAACTCACCACCAATGGGAGGAAGAAAGACTTTGATGTCGGGACGCGTGATGAGCTCGGGATACATTCCGTTAGTCATACGAAAAATAGAGCGACGGAGATTCGATTCGGTGGTTTCGAACCGGCGAGCGATTTCGGGAAGGTACCAGACGGGCTCGATAGCTGCCTTCGAAACAATCGACTGCCCGGAAGGCATCAGGATCTTACCGTCGGCCTTGAGACGCCCCGCGGCCAGAGCCTCTCGGCATTCTGGCAGATCTAGGTGGGCTTTAGTCACCGCCATCGTGGGGCGAATGTCCCTGTTTTGTTGGTTTTTAAGAAACAGTTGGGAGTATATGAGCATGTGCGGGAACAAAAGCGAGAATTGGTAGCTAGAAACGACAAAACGACGTTGTTCAACTCACCAGCCCTTCTTCAGCCAGTCTCCGTAAACCTCGGTAGTCACGTGACCAAAGGGGTCAAGAGCTAATGTGGTATGGTTCGGTGGGAATAATGGGGTGAGATGAAAGACGAAGACAAAAAAGGAACACGTCCATGACTTCGAAAATAGACAGACAGCGGCCACGACGTAATAAACACACCTGCAATCTTCTTCGGATCGGCCCAGGACGGATGGGGCCCAATCTTAAAGACGGGAGAGGTTCCCTTAAAATTCGGAACGTAGTCCGGGTCCAGTTTTTTCGCCGCTACCGCAAGCCCGGTGTAGATGCAATAGCTTCCCTGATGCGCCCCAATGGCGTTCCTCTGAGCCGCGTGGCGGACGGTGGAAATGATCGGCCCGCGGACCTCCGGGTTGGGGTGACTCCACAACACCGGTACCGGGTCGACCCCAAAGGCATTGGTATGGGTGGTGATAGGGATGTGGTCCATCTTGGTGAACTCCGGCTTTGGAATGCCCCTACATGAGTCATCGTCGTCATTGTCTAGGAGAAAAATAAATCAAAGCAACGCAGTTCGTTGAGACAATAAAGTGCAAAACAAGAATTCCATTTCCAACACATTGTGCTCTGCTCTCCGACTCAACGCATCGGTAGAGCACGAGTGCAAGACCGTACGTACCTTTCTCGGTTCGGGCCTTCTTCTTGACCGGGTTTTCCATAGTTGGCTTCGTGTGAAGTTCGTCGAGGCTGTCGATTTTGTTGATCGTCATGTCCCMTTCGGGGAGAGAAGCAACGCTAGCGGGTGGCATTGTTTTGTTCTATTTTTGGTGTCTTTTGCTTTGATTGAGATTGTCGTTTAGAGAAAATCGGATTTGTGCTTTCGATCGTGTCTTGTCGAGAGAGAAGTTTTTCGCTCTTGGAAATGGACCTAACGACAAGCCGCCGAGCTGATCCTTTTCAGTTTGCTCGTCGTCGTTTCTTCAATTTGAAATGGAATTAGTTCTACGAATTTCTCCCTCTCCAACAGTACGAGTAGTACGTACTCGTTCGGCACTATTCGGTGGAATTGTTTCTGTAGATACCACACCGCTCGGTGCACCAGTACCTTCTACGGTAATACAGTACAGTACTTTGGAGAAGCATCACGGTACGATGGAGAGGAAGACGGAATCGAATCACAACAAGATCACCAAATCGAATCGAATCTTGAAATAGAGAAACCGTGGAATCGTCGTTAATACGTCTAGTACCGCAAACGTTGTACCGTACGATGTGGGGTTCTGCAGTACGATAAACGATGTATCGAACTGTTGTACGAGTACATTACTGTACTACTAATTCGTATCCATACTTTCTTTTGACAGCGATGACATCACCCTGTTCACGAATGGAAACTCGTCAACAAAAACTCTCGAATTCGCAGAATGAATAATAATTCTTTTTTCGTTCTCATCGCAAGTTGGCGAAACCTGACAAATTCTGTTGTTAGTCCATTGAGTCGTTTCATGTACTACTTAATACATATGTAATATATATATCATACATATATATGACGAAATGCGGACTACGGATCGTAGCACCGTACGAACCATAAGGTACAGTACAGTATCAACTGAACATCTACGATACGGTACGTACTACCGTATCGTCTATTCATTGAGTACTCGTACTCGTACTGTGCACCGTACGTACCGTACGTAGTAGTCGTTCTTGCAGGAGCATTCCTTACTGTACAGTACAGTACGAATTTGCGTTCCAGAGCCAATTAATAAGTATTCGTTGAACGGCTACAAAAAACTAATATTTCACAAAAAATGATACATGGTCAACGTCTCAAAATTGGAGCGACAAGTTGATGGTGAAATACTGTTACAAAAATTATCGCAAAATTTCTCCATCTACGTACCGTACCGGCCGGTACGGTTCGTGCGTTACTGTATCGTGGTGTGAAACAGGGAGGAGGGACCAGAAATTTTCTTCCAAAAATACAGAATAGAGCAGAGCGACTGCCTCACAGACACCGTGGCATCAAGGAATCACATCACACGTTGCTCTTCTCTATTATTTCAATAAATCAAAATACATGTCTGAAAGCAAAACCTGATACGAAACACGAATCGAGTAACAAAAGATTTCTCATCGAAGATGGATGATGGATCCGCAGGAAACGATGGCGCACGCAGGGATGAACTTGTGCTTTTGTTTGAATTAGTAGGTGCAAGGAATCTAGTGCTACGCGACGATTATGAAATTTGTCAGGGAATCGACCCCAATTCTCTGCAACCCTTTTGCGTAGTGAAATATAATGGGGTGAGAATACATAAAACGAAACCTTCAGAAGAATTAGGATGCAATCCAATATGGACCCCTCATTCCTCCAGAAGTATATTTTTGGTGCGGACGACAGCTATTGAATTGAGTCGTTCAATAATGAATATTTCGGTGTACATTAAGAAAGAGAGCGCTCTCCCTAGTATGCTCACAACAGTCACCAGTGTATTTATGGGGCAAATACACGTCGATTCGAAAACAATTCTGTCTCACTGTGACGAGGAACGGTTTGAATTGAACATAGAAGATGAACTCGGGGAACAGACGCGTAATTTGGGGAAACTTGCTGTGCGATGTCGAGTAGCCACGCCGTCTGACATTGAAATTTTATCGGTTCTAAACAAAGATCTGTCTGCTTCACATATGGAGCGAATTGGAGATATGATGTTAGATTCCTCCACGAGGCCGATGGAGACGACTTCTACTCTTTTTCACAAGAGATCAGATCGTCCACTTGCGACCATGATGACCGAGAAAGATGAGGCAGAAGTGGCGCAAAGTTCAATTTTTCAGTCCGTTGGAAATATATTTGTTTCGCAAACCTCGACGTGCCCCGAAAGTGGGCAAGTAATGAAAAGGGTAAAACCATATCCCGATCCTGACAGACAAGAAAAAACAGAATTCCTTCGACCTTACGACCTCAACGTCGAAACACGATTGCCATCTACGAAGTGGACGGAAGCAGGCTCTGGCTCGATAGGAAAACTATTTGTAGAAGTATTATCATGCGACGATCTTCCGAATTTAGATTCAGGAGGGGAAATGATGGGAAATTTTACAGACTCTTTCTGTACATTAGTATACGAGGACACCTGTGCCATGACGGATGTAATCGACGACGAACTCAGCCCACGGTGGATGCCATGGACGAACAGAGCATTTTCGTTCAATATAATGCACCCGGCTTCAATTTTGTATTTGGGAGTGTTTGACTTTGACGTACTCGGGACTCATGATCCTATTGGAAGAGTCGCGGTCAATGTTTGTAACTTACAGCGTGATACAGTTCATACGCTCACGTATAATCTCTATCCGAGTTCAAATGTCACGGAAAGAAAAGCTGCTGGAAGTATCACTATACGAGTACGACTTGAATGGTTTGACCCGCGAGCAGCTCTTCTTGCCGCTATGAAATCTAGACCGAACATGCACGTAAACGTCTTGAAAGAAAAAACTTTTCGAGTAGTCCGATACACATGTTATGGCGAGTATGGCGATAAAGGAGAGTTTGATATCACTTTAATGCGGTCTTATATCAACGAGATTTTTGAATATAAGGCGGGGGTGAGCTATGCAATCTCAGATACATTGAGATCCCTCATACTGTGGAAAGGTCAGGTCGAAATCTTCTCCATTATGCTTCCGTTACATTCGCTTATTCTTTTTGTCTTTTCGACGAGACTTGTCGAGAAACCCCAATTAATTGTTCCATACTCTCTATTAGCGATTGCTTGGATGATGCTGGCTAACTTGACTATACGACGTCAGCACCCTTCGCCGTGGCAGAGTCGCCTTTCATTCTTCGATTATTTAAATATTCTCCGCACTGGAAAATCATCGATACCTGTGAAGTGCATAAAGGAGTATGAAGGGGCGGCAGAAGCTAGAGCGTATGAATTAGCCTGGGAAAAACGCATCGAAAAGGATAGAAAGATAGCAGAGAGAAAAGCAGAGTTACTTCAAGAAATAAATGACATCAGTGACGTCAACATTCATACCGAAGTATCCAATCAAGCGCTGATTCCTGTCGATTTATTGAATCGACTTGCACGATACCAGGGAATAGTTGGACGCATTTGTAAGAAATTACGTTTTGTCAAAATCATCTTGACGTGGGAAGAAAGCATCGTATCGTTTTTGGGTAAGTACTGATCCCGATACATTATCGCAAAGCTCAATAGTCGACTAACGTTTCTTCCTACATACCTTTTGTAGTCACCGCTACATTCTTGTCAGCCGGAATAGTTGCGCTCGCCCTACCATGGGGGTTTATTCTCACCTGGGTCGGAAGACTTATTGTGTGGGGCTTCTTGGGACCACATATGAAACTTGTTGACCTTTTCTTACGAGCAAACGAGAAGAGAGATGGCAAACTCAACGATCTGATTAAGAACTTCGACATACAAAGCCATCAAGCCCGTCTTAGCAGGGAAGAAGCTCTCAAAATCAAAGACATGAAAGAAGTTGCATTTGGAACCTATAGCGTTCATGTTCCTTCTTTTAATCTCTGTAAGTTTGAAATGATTTTCATTATACATTATCCTGAAAAAGGTTATCTCATTCATATTTTGATTGTCGAAATCGATCCAGCTCGCCACCACGACCGACCTCTGCCTCAGTCATCTTCAAGAGTGTACCGGAAACCTCCGCCACATCGTAAAGTCGGAAACAATGCAAGAGTTTCTGTGACAGATCTCGGAAGTCGATGCACTTTGATTCCAGGCCAACAATTATATGGCGCAATGATTCCCCGTCCAGAACACGAAGAAGAGATCCATAAGCATCAAAGAATCCTAGCTGAGAAGAGGATGAAATCTGTCAAAGACTTTTTGAGACGATTAAATGAGGTAGAAGGACTCTCGGAATATGAAACAAAGCAACTAAAGAAAATGGATATTGATACAGCAACACCCATGGCTATCGGGTACGAAGTGGTCCCCTTCGAAGAATGCGAGTCGGTGTCGAGTGATACTGAATCGTCAGAAGGCTCGACGAACAAGTCGGCAGCACTGTGCTCTTTGCGTAACTTCAGTATAAAACTGATGTCGGATAGGTTGGGATATGTCGATTGCCGGGAGGCAAGAGATTTGATTCTTCGAAGTGACGGGGTCACAACTTATTGTATATCTGAAAATTGCGAAGAGGAGGATGAAGGTATGGAAGTAATCGGCACTGGTCGGTTTCAAAGTTTTGACTACGGTGATGAGATGAGATCATCGATAGACTCAAAGGATCCTAACGTGGAAGAGAGACTTACGTGTGCCTTAAATTCTACGGAGGGCTCTCAAATGGTATATTATCGGCCACCTGAGAATGGAGAGGTTAAGTTAAAAGAAGAATAGTTGTTGTACAGGTACAGCTGCACTCTACATAAGCATCGCTTGTTATGCGACCTTTCCTTGTAGAGCGCGTAGACCCTTAATTTGCTGGGTATACCGTGCGTACACTTGTCAAAGCAACAGATACGGTTTCATATAACCTGGGATACAGGCACTACTGCTATCGCCTCGTCCGTGTTGGAGTCATCTTCGCTTGCATCCAATAGAGGTGCATGATCAACACCTCCAGGAGATGTCCGGTCCGAACTTTTTGGAAATATACAGCAGAGAATAACTTGACTGAAACCAAGGAACAACCCTATCCCATTTGGCCCGTAGATCACAATGTTGTCCATTGCAATTCCGTAGGCTCCCCAAAAGCCAGCATTGGTGCAGTTCAAAAGCATTGTAAGGTTATGAATGCTGTCAGAACATTTCTCGTCGATCACTATTTTGATCGTTTGCAGTGGTGCTCCGTAAAAGAACAATAAATTGATGTTAACAAAAATGCCAACTATCTCTTTCTCCCGACCATTCGCAATTTCTAACCATCCGACACCAACTAAAACCGCAGCCCAAAAACTCAAAACTCCTAGCAATAATTTATCTTGAGATGTGAATACTGCCCATGTCGTAGTACCATTTTCGCTGGCGTTGTCGGCTTCGTTTGTTTCTTCGACCTGCGCGTAATACTGAAGCTTGGATGCTCCAGTATTCAGCCAGAAGCTTATCAAAATCCCTGGAATGTTGCTAGCCAGAACGAACTGGTCATGTGAATAGTAGGCATACGCGAGCCATCCAAGACAGTTCCCCGTCATGATTCCCCATGGCGTTGGATTCAGAGTTCCCAAGCTTTTCCTCTCAAGTGCGATCACAAGTGACTAGAGATGGCAAATCAAGAGGTCCACGCCGATTAAATTGAATTTGTCAAAAGATGCGATTTTCCCTACAAAGTTGATACAAACAACTATCTTTCTCTTTCGTAGTCTCGGTGTTTTGTTCATCAAATTTGAATCATTATATCTGCTCATGTCACACTTACCTTTACAGGCGCTGTATAAAGGGCGGTTGAAATCAGAATGCCAATAGAAGGGCAGATGTATTCGAAAATTATCTTATTCCAGTTCGTCATCTTCTACAATAATGTTGTCGCCGTTTTGTATTACTGTATGTCATCAGAATAGAGAACCAAAAGCATTATGCACTGAAAGTGTAATAAGGTTGAATAGTTCTCAGGATTTCTCAGGAAAAAGATTTCCGTTCATTCTGGACCAAGTTTGACCGGAACCAATTCTGGAAATTGGAAATCTATCGACGTTCCAGCACGAGTCCTATTTGCTTTCCTCATGACTCGGAATCGAATCAATTGGGTCTCTAACGCAAATAGTTACTGTACTACGGTGCAAAAGCTAAGGTAGTACCAAGGTAAAAAGTAACAATCTGAAAAGAATTTAGAAGCTTATGAATGAAAGCACTGTGACTACTCGTTGTTTCTGAAATAGTAGGAATGGAATTTATTGATTTGTTGTCTATGCTGAACACTTGCAACGGACGTACGTACCGAGGAATCGTTACGTACGATACGAAGCTTACAAGAAAGGAATGAAGGAGCATACCATTCCTACGTAC